GTCCTTCCTGAAATGTGACACCCAAAAGTGAACACAGTACCCCAGAAGTGGCCTGACCAGGGCACAATTGCTTTAGATGTGGGTTCATCTGGAGGGGTTCCCATCAAATGTGGCGGGATGCACACTCCCGTATTCCCACAAGTTCTGCCTCTCAATATAATCCATGATGATGCTGGCTTGCTGGGATGCCACACACCACACTGCTGACTCAGACTGACATCATGATCTACTCACTCAGACCCCCAGATCTTTTTCACACTACAACAGTCTGACCACACCATTGCCATCTTGTACTTGTGAATGTGATTTTTCAAAATCCAAGTATAAAACTCTACCTTTATCCTTACTGAATCTCTTCTTGTTACAGTCCCAACCACCTTCTCCTCTCCTGCCCCAGTGGAGAGAGCCCAGCACCCTTCACCCTAAAGCCCTGGGAACAACAGACCCCCCCCCATCGCTGGCCCGGCCTCAGCCATCACACGGGTGAGCACGTGCTTCCTGAAAGGCAACGCCAGGCGTCTTCCTCTACGTGCGTTCCTATCGCCCCTGTCATCTCTGACCCTCCCCAACAGCCACCTGTTACTGCCCACCCGTCCTCCAAATGTCACCTCCTTCATAAGGCTGTCCTCCATCACCTCAGATGAAGTCATTCCACTTGTATTCTCTGTGTCAGAGGCCGGTGTCCTCACCTCTACCAACAGCAGCTCACATTCATTCAGCACCTTATGATTTACAATGTTCTCTACAAAAATTATCTCACTCGATTCTTGATAGACGGGTGCTCTGACTGTCATTCTACAGATGTGGAAACTGAGGCAGAGAAAAGAGACTCGCCCAGGGTAACACAGCTAGCATCATCCAAGTCCCAATTCCCGATTCCAGGCCTAGGGCTCCAGCCACTGCTCCATCTGTCTCACTACGCAGCATCACCAACTGCTGGCCAAATCATTATGGCAGTGAGAAGGTAAGCCTAAGGGCCCTGGGGACCACAGCACTACCTACCCTCCTCCCACTCAGCATCCAGGGACTGCAGCCTCCACCTGCTCAGAGCCACAGCTCCTGAAGACCCAGAAAATGAAGCTTCCCCACCCATGTCCTTGGTCACCACCAAATGGCAAACGTCAGAAATGGACGTGGCTGAATCAATGGAAAGGACATTGCAGAAGAGGTCTCACCTCCTGATTTGTGGCTGGGACCTCCCCTCTGGCTCGCAGCAGAAGCCCCTCCCAGGCGTGATCTCTGCCATTACAACCAGAGCCCCTGGGGAGCAGGGACATGGGACCTGTGGTGCCTTTCCCCAGCATGTCATACAGATCATTGTGCTATGCTCGGCTCCAGGAACACCAAGGCAAAAAGCTAACATCCAACCTGGTCACTATTCCTTGAGTAGTCCACTCAGGTGGTTCAAATCCTTCCCAGGGGGCTCTGCCAGCCCCCCCCCCCCCCGCCTTTTTGCTTTCTCAAACACTGACCTGGAACGCGGGCAACCTCTCTGGGCAGCACCCGCTGACCTGCTGGGTGAGTGGCCCCGTCAAGGAAGGGGACGAGCATGGTGTGGACTGCCTGCTCCTCAGGGAGGTCACTGGAGGCAGACAGACAGGAGACAAGCCGGGAGGACAGCAGTACCCAAAGCAGAGCAAACACCCAGATGCAGAGGTGACCACCGTGACTGAGGAAAGTCGGCTTCCTTCTGCTCAGGCCTCAGGAGCCACTGCAGCTGTCACCATGGCCCAAGCTCTGGTCTTCTGCTGGTTTTCCTGTTAGAGTTTTTTTTGATCCCGAACATGGATCTCCAGGTTCTGCTCGGTTCCCACGCCATCAGTTTGGGCAAGCCTCCTGGGGTTTCTCTGAAGTCTTCATAGCCAGTATTTCCTCAGGCTTCAATAATACAGGCATTTCTCGCTTCGTGTAAATTCGCATTACAAAAATTTGACTTTACATAAAGAATTCTGAAAGCTTCATTAGGTAAAGGAGGGGAAGAGAGAGTAAGCCATTGTCCAAACATCTCGACAGATTCATAAAATAAGGCGCACAGCCAACCCCCAGTAATAAAGGCTGGGTGCAGCGGGTGGATTCTGTAGAGCTGTTTACCTTTCCCATACAGAACTGCACAGACTTTATCGTTAGCTTTACATTTCATTTCACAATTCTCTTTGTTACGGGCCAGGAGTTAGTACGTCTGCATTTCAGTACATTTTACCACTTGTGTAAAGTATGATTTTCTGTGTTCTTTGTCAGACAAACTGAAGTGGCCAGGGGGGACAAATCCACATCCCATAAACAATGCTTTCCATGGAGGTCGGTGCAATGGTCCATGTATGTAAAGTGAGGACTGTTATATCCCATTACCCTCACATGTGACAATCCGTTCAGCCTTTTCCCAGGCAATGGGCATCTACTTAGTCTTTAATTTTTTGCTGCCACTAAAGGTCGTATTTTTGTGCATAGAGGGCCTTTTCCTCTGACTGTGACCCTCCTGGGCTGATGTCGGGTCATAACATTCAGCTGGGTCACAGGGGCTGGTTCCCAAATGCCTCTCCCCGCTCCCCTCCCCCAGACTGGATCAGCCCGCAGCCCAAGCCAGTTTGTGAGTGTTCAAAGTGCCCCCCCAGCGCTCCGTCGACTCCTACAACTCCCCTCCCCATCCCCCACGGATCTCAGTTTCAGCCACTGGGTCCCAGGAGGACAAGTGGCATCCCTTGAAATACCAGAAGGCGGCAGTTATGTGCGTCCCTCCCCCACCGCAGTCTCTCTATGTCACTGGGTCTCCATCTCGTCCACAGAAAGTGTGTGGAAGGTTTGGCCCAGTGCGCTCCGAAGCTACAAGCCCACTGCACCTACCCCACGCTCTAGGTCCACAGAAGAGGGAAAAGGGGCTTGAGCATCGGGCACGACCTCGTCTGTATAAAGCCAATCTGCCTGTTTTAGATGTGGAGCATCCTTCTGGGACCAGGGCTAGACTGTCCCGAGGAGCTGAGGTCAAGCCACGGAGCAAGCAGCAGGACTGCAGAGCAGACAGAAGCGCAGAGACGGACTGGGCATCAGCCACGAGACATTGGCAGGGGCAGCCCAAGGAGCCACCTGGGATCTGACACACGGGCCCTGCCTCCTACACCCGGAGAATTTGAGGAATCCATTCCCACTAAGAACATAAAGTCTGCCCCCCAAGCTGCCTCATGAGGGGGCTGCAGGGTCAATGACCGTGTCCTAAACGGGTCACTGGAAGTTAAGACTGACAGTGAATCAGTCAGTGGGGTGTGGTGACTGCCTGCTGCCCCCACGGTCCTGGGGCTGTGACCTTCCCCTCTGGCCCCAGATCTGAGGCCTCTACCAGAGGTCACTATTCTCCCTCCCACTTGGGGTAGCAGATGTAGACCCGCCTGATGTCGAGGATGTCCCCCCCTACGTCACATCGGCACCTGGCTCCCTCTTTCGTTTTCATGGCCGTGAAAAGAAAGCCTAGGGGCTCAGAGCCTGGGGATGGGCTCGCCAAAAAGAAGCATCAAGGAGTCTGCCCGCAATTCCCCCACCCCCAATGTCTCTGCAATGGGCCCGTCTCTCCCCCCTCTTTTTCCTAATCTCATCCTGGGGCCAGGAAGACTCTTGAGGCTAGCTCACTCTGTGCCCTGGGGGTTCCTTCCACCCAAGCCTCCGCCCCCTCCCCAGGCACCGCCTTGGTAGATGGAGGCCAGTGAAGTGTTTGGGTGTAGGATGTGGGAGCGGGCTATCCTGGGATGAGACCGGGGTGGCAGGTCTGTGCCCCGCGGAGGTGGGGAGGTGTCCCCCGGGCCCTCTGAGGGAGTCCCCCCTGCAGAAGCCCCGGCAGGTCCAGCCTGGGGCTGCGTCTCACCCCTAAGGCTCAGCCTCGCAGTGTTCTGGGAAGCTCATCCCCATGTGGCCAGGAGAAGTGATGGTCAGTCTAACACACACTTATCGGAGTCGGGGACGTGGGCTCAAGTGCTGACCCAGGCATGTGCTGCTGTGGACAATGGGAAAGTCACTGAGCTCTCCTGGCCCAGATCCCCTTCCCAGAAATGATCAGGGCAGGTCAGGTGCAGCCGCCTTCTCTGGGACAGGAGTCCTCACCCAGGCTGTCTGCACCAGGCAAAGCTGTGGGCAGTGTCCTCACTCTCCAGGGCTGGTCTGCACCAGGCAAGGTTGTGTGTGGGCAGTGTCCTCACCCTCCAGGGCTGATCTACACCAGGCAAGGCTGTGGGCAGTGTCCTCACTCTCCAGGGCTGGTCTGCACCAGG